CCCCCCCTCTAGATCCGCCACTGTGGCCGTCTCCATTAATATATTCAAGACCGGAGGGCGTTCCAATATTTAGCGACGCGAAAGTTATACGACGCTTCTTTTTTTGGCTGCAGCAGAATTAATACCCGCCTACTTTTATCTACAAGTTCAAACTGATTTTGATAAGATCTATCCAGTGTGTGATAAATTCACACATGTCTGCAGTGAGTCAACTATCTTGCAATTTACAAGCAGGAGAAATCTCTTCAACCATTCTCAAGCGAATGCTCTGCACCTTTCGTAATTTATTGACAATATACTGCTTGTGTGGAATAAATTATGGATTTACGATTCTCTAAATTTAAAGCTGTCAACTTGAATACATGTATTTATATCCATTTGGGTTCCATAATCCATAATCATTTCTAGTGTTTTATTTTTGATACGACGGCGTAAGAGTATTTTTTATTTACTCTAGTAATAATCTTATGAATAGTAATTGTATACACTTTGTTTATTACTTTGGACCCGTGGTAGATTACACTCAGACTTCTAGTGTACTTTCATAGTTATCATAAACAATATGTAAATAGCTTACCCTGTAATGTGTCATAGACAAATATATAGATTTTCAAGTCATCATGTTTGACCGCTCCAATGAAATAGTGAATCACATATATCATGCTGTTAGTCAAACGGCGCTGTAAAGTCTAGAGTGGAGTTTGCCAGACACCTTCTGACTATCCGAATATTTCCCAGAACCGTTGTAAATATGTGCGCGTATCAGTTAAACAATTACTTCAGCCCCTCCGAATAATGTACATTTTAAGTTGTTGGTAACCTTCTTCCCCTACTTACAGAATGAAATCTCCCCGATGTATGATGCCAATATAACAAATACTAGTATGACAAGTAACCTGTAGAATGCTGTGTGGGTAATATTTTTATATTGATTTTTGCTGCATTTGCAGCAAATAGTTACCAAACAATGAGAAATCTATTGGATTGAATATACCTCTCAGGTGGCTTCACATGCATAGTTCAAGCCTGCCTAACCGGTGCTTATACCAGGATTTAGTTACAGCTTCATGTTCCCAGTAATCCCAGTAATTCATGAAAGACTGGCACTCCCATGCAATTAACAGCGAGTTAAATTCTTGGGATTGAAACATATATTTTGAAGTCACTGATGTAGGCAATGAATAACTTAAAGTTGACATAAAGACGAGGTAGTGCTCAACTAGAGGCTGAAATTATAATTAATTTGTTTATTTCAATACACTGGTGAAACACGATAGTACCCATGGGCGAAAGGATGTTTTGGGGTGTAGTTTACATTGTGTATGGAGTGGTAGGATCGGGTGTAATTTGTTCATTTCCAACTCTTATGAA